CTACAAAAGAAAAAGTTTTTAAAAATAATGAAGGTAATTTATCCTCCCTAATATATCCCACATATTTAAGATACATTTTAAACAAAAAATATTATAATGTCAAGTATTTAATAAACACCCACAAAAAAAAAAATATATTTTATAAAAACATTATAAAAAAAGTGGGGAAAAGTTTTAAAAATTCTAAAATCCTCAGCACTTCTCATTCATGTGCATGTGTAGTCATGCCAATATAAAAAATCTAGTCTGATGAAATCCTGAAAGATGAAAAATGTCACAAGTAAACATTTTCAACTTTGACATATATAAATATTCTAAAACTATTAGCTTATTTATTTTATTTGAAAAGACATTTAAGAGAACAAATTTATTTTGTTAGATACCTATACATAATTAATAAATCTAATTTTTCCTCCCTAATATATCACACATATTTAAGATACATTTTTAACAAAAATATTATGTCAATTATTTAATAAACACACACAAAAAAAAGATCTCACATGGAAAAATGATTTTATAAAACTCAATAAAAAAGTGGGGAAATATATTTTTAAGCAGGTCTTAAACAGGAAAAATTAAATTTTAAAAATTATAAGATATATGAATATGTGTATTTCAGTAAATACAGAGTTGTTATAAAAAGCATTGAAGATGTCTTTTTTTGTGATGCCATAAGGTTTCATGAGTAGTTCAGGAAAATGGGTAGCGACTTAAAACTGACAGAAGGAAGTCATATATATTTGGATAGCAGAAAGTCCAAAAGAGAGAGGGAGTGATAAGCCAGTCACCAGGCGATATCTATATTTTTGGTTTTGCCTTGGTTTAAACTCACATGATGTAACTGATATCTCATTCATAGTGATCATACACAAGAAAAAAAAAAACAACCAATCTTTCTCTCCCCACACCTATGCTTTCTTTGCTCCAATAACTATTTATGTTTTAAAATAAAGCCTTCAAGGTAGCTATGGAGAAAATGTGTTTTGATCATTATTTTTATTATAACAAAAGTCAAGAAAAGTTACCTCAGTTCACAATATTTTCATCAAATCTTTTCCCCCATTTCTATATACAAAGACATTCCTTAATTTTCTGCATATCCACTGGAAACTTTCTAACCATAAATTCCTAAGTGCATCCAGACATTTCTATGCCTCTTGAATTTTGACTTATTACAAACACTACCCAACAAGAAAGACCAGATAATAATAATGACCAAATTTACTCTTCAAGAGTTGAATAAAGAATGATAATTCCACCTTTATTTAATATGGAACAAAGATCATTCTTGAATAAGATTTTGTAGAAAAATCATACATTTTATGATTTTGTTACTAAATCTTATTCAAAACCAATTTTCCAACCAATCAGAATGCATTATAGAAGACACAGAAATCCTTTCTCTGGAGTCTAGTCATGCTTTAGGAACAGACATTCAAATAAATAAAATTAATAATTTATCCAAGGTTGCAAATGTGCTAGATATTGTGGGTAATAACAGACTCTATAGAACAATTATAATATATAATTATTAACATGCATGCGAAAGAAAAATGAGTTTTAGGGGTGAAAAGTAAATTGAAATATGAATGGGTCATGAATAAAACTATTAAGGATTGTAATATTTAGCAAAAGACCAGTATCCCATGTCTCTTAATTTTGTATGTATTGTATCACATTTGTATTTCATCATAAATGTTAACAGCTTATCCAAGTTACTCAAACTATATTATTTATAATAAGACACAAATACCATAATTCCAATAAGCCAATCATTTATTGCGGAGTTGCTCGTTAATTCAAACTGTTGCAGAATTCTAGATTTATAATCATGTGAACCAACGACATTACTACATTATATTCTACATCATCATCATCTTCTTGTGGCCTCAGCCGAGATTGAACTCACCAATACTTTGATTGGTGTAGTTCATAATCTTGTCAAATAGCTGAATTCTTGATGCTTCGCTAGGGCTATCAAGGGTGTTTTTATCGTGACACCAACACTAAATGGATTGCCAACCAAGGCTCAGAGAGACTCCATTCACCCTCCTCTAAGAGCAGGTTTGAATTCAGAGTTTTCCTTCTAGACCAGTTGCCATCCAAGGCTATAGAACCCAGTCTGTCCTGCTATTTACCCATAGCTGGAGGGAGAAGAAAGAGGATTCACACCTTTCCTAAGGGTGTTAGCACATAAGTGAATGTAATGGATTCGACTGGAATTTGAACTCAGCTCTCCGATTCCTCAATCCAAGCCGCTATCCATTACTCCACCGTGCCTCATATTCTACCTCTTTAATCCGGCATTTTTGAGACCAGGCCACAGAAAATTCTAAACGACAGAAATTATCATCTTTAAAAAAAAAAAAAAAGCCTATACAAACATAGCTCTGCCAGCTCATTCAACAAATACATTGCTATGTTATCAAAGTTAGAAGAAAGCTTAAAACAGAAAATAAAACAATCAGTAATGCTTCCAAACAAGGTTTTTATTGTATTATGCAATACAAAGGCAAAAAAGCCTAAAACCAAGAAATAATATATATTATACTGTATGCAGCTACATATGAGAAATGAGCAAGACCATATCACCAAAACACTATGCTGTTGTCAGCTGCTGTGGAAAGTAGTAAATAACTTGTGCTGCTCAATGAACTAATAGTGGCAGATTCAAAAAGGTGCTGGACCATAAGAGCTTCTGGATCATGGAATGCCAGATTAAAGAGGTTGGATTTTATTATCATTCATTATCTATACAAGCAATATTGAGATGCAACAAGTAACATTAAAATACATTACAAACAAATTGAACTCTGTATGCAAACAACCACTTCAATCACACACACGTTTTCATTGAATAATAGACATATTGTGTCTACTTATTTTTATACTGGTCCTTTCTTGTTCTCTAATCAGTTTCTTGATGTTAAGATGAAATTCATCAAGGAAGGTGTTATAGCTTTTTTCTTTTAACCCAAGTACTTTCGACCTTTTTCTAAGATCATCCTCAGGGGTAAATTACAATGACAACAAATTCTAACTGCATTAAAATCTGCATTATGTTGGAACAGTGATTTTTAAAAAATGCATGAACATGCTCTGTTATCATTATTTTAGAATTTTAAAATTTATCTGTTGTAGTTACAGAATTTAAAAAAAAAAATAAAAAATAGGTGTTTCAATATAAGGGAACTTGTAGAAATGTAAAATTATTAATTATAAATCTAGAATTCTGCAACAGTTTGAATTAATGAGCAATTCTGCAATAAATGATTGGCTTATTGGAATTATGGTATTTGTGTCTTATTATAAATAATATAGTTTGAGTAACTTGGATAAGCTGTTAGCATTTATGATGAAATACAAATGTAATACAATACATACAAAATTAAGAGACATATGATACTGGTCTTTTGCTAAATATTACAATAACAGTATATAAATGTTATATGCACTTTAATATATAGTTGTTATATTTGTAATAAATTTTATTAAGTATTGGTTGGTTAATTTTGATATAGAGATTTCATCTTAACATCAAGAAATTGATTAGACAACTGGAAAGAATCGGTATAAAAATAAGTAGACACAATATATGTCTATATTATTCAATGAAACCTGCTTGAATGAAGATATGCTGCCTAAATAAGACAGAGTGAGAGGGATGGATGTTTTAACAGTTAATCCAGAGAATGGAATCAGTAAACTTAATTCAAATTTCAACTATGGCAGTTTGAATTCCCTTCAAACTAATACTTATGAGAAAGACATGACTCCATATCTTCTTATAATTATGAGTTAAATAACTGAGTAGACTGTACTCTCTAGCTTTGATTAGTAACCAGTCTAGGAGGATAAATCTGAGTTAAAAGCTAGTAGAGTCCACTGCTCTCCTCAGCCAACTTGCTAAAATATGATAAGTATGCAAGATGAAGGTCCAAATGAATAGAGAATAAGCAGATTCCTTGTTGCGATAAATTTCACTCTGTACTTAATGTTATCATTTCTTGTTGCCAATACATGATAGCATTGTAGATTTTGAATGTCAGCTCACAACTTGTATGTTTTTTTTGTTTTTTTTTACATATCAGCAATGAATGCCTAAAAAAAAAAAAAGCAGACTACTAAAATAAATAAATAAAAAGAGTGTCTATACAAACAATACACAAGTAAACTATCAATGGTACTTAACAGAAATTGACAACTCTATACAGGTAGATTGTGAGCTATGATGATTTGTATTTAGGACCATAATAAGATGACTATATATGTAGTAAGGAGTTTACATTAGTGGGGAGATTGCTTAATGATGGATGCATGGATGTTACACACACGGGGGATTTCCAGGTGTATCTCAACTTCATGTAACAAAGCTTGGAGTCACATTTTATATTTGTACATCTGACAATTTTTAAAGCATCAAGAAATTCAGTAGGCATCTCTATGGCACATGAGGAGGAGACACAGTGGAATAATGGATAGCGGCTCATTGAGAAATTGGAGAGCCGAGTTCAAATTTCAGTCTGATCCATTACATTCACTTACGTACTAATACCCTTGGGAAAGGTATGAATCCTCTTCTCCCTCCAGCTATGGGTAAATAGCAGGACAGACTGGGTTCTTTAGCCTTGGGTGGCAACCAGTCTAGGAGAAAGTAACTCTGAATTCAAAACTGTATGTATCCCTGGCATAGCACATACTATACAGCTAAAGGAGAGGATCGTTCGCATTGGCTCAATGATCCCAACTGTGGTCAACAAATGACGATGGTGCATGATGACAAAAAGAAAAATTATTTCTATTTATACTTTCTGATCCTCTAAAACAAAGAGGACTGGTGTTAAATGACACTACTACTACTCCTCACTGTAGTAGGATATTTTTTATTATTACTTTCAGCCAATACAAAGATCAAGAACCACTGCAGAATTGGAAATTGGAAAGTGCATTTCAGTTCCCTCAGCTTCATTATATTCACTTATGTGCAAATACCCTCA